TATGAAAGAAATATGTAGAAGACTGGTGTGTGTGCGCGTGCACGTGCGTGCAAGGTAAATTATTTTGCAAAATGGAAAGGGTTATGGGGCAAATATTTGACACTTTCTATTATGAAACATAGATTATCAGAGATGTTGAGGCCAATATATAATATATTTATAGAGGAAGAGTATTTGCAAGGTGTTACATGGGCTGGTGCAAGAGTATTTCAAGATACTTATGGCTAATGAGGTGGGATAAAAATCTAATGAATAAATAAATATTTTAACTAGAATGCAACGGTGTCTGGGGTAAATATTTGTCACAGTATTTTAAAACCTTCATCTGAAGGCCAACAGATAGCATTTTCTGTGTGTTTTTAAATGGAAAAAGCAAATGAACGTAAAAATAAGCAAAATGGTAGTGAAAAATCTAAATGAAATTAGACGAGAAGCTTCGAGGGAAGTGCCTGAAGTCCAGGTGAACAGGAGATTTCCTGCTTGCCTACAATACTCCAAAAGACCTGTTAGTTGCTTTGGCCCACCTGTAGGTTTCTTTCAGGGTGACATCCCTGAGTAGGACTCAGCTGATGTGTAACGTCTAGCATCTCTTTTCTTTTCCTGCTAAAGTCCTGAGATCCACTAAGCAAAGCCCAGGTTGGACTGAAAGAATTCTGAGCCCAGGGGCTTTTTTTGGAGCATCAGAACCGAACGGAGCTCACAGTCCTTGCACACAAAAGCGCCAAGCTTTTCCCCTTCCTGCAGTTCCATTTCGAGATGGGGCTGAGGAACCTTTTTGTGGCTGCTGTTATAAAACCGCTGCGACCAAAGTCCTTGGTGCGCTACCCAGTGATTGCCCAGTGCAATCCCGTCTACTCCCTGCTCACCCTTGCTTTAAGATCATCCTGTTCCAGGTCATTCAAGGTCAATGTGCAGTACTTTATTTTTCTCCTTATATGACACACTTCTGAGTTATGCTCGGCTGGGAGCCAGCTGATTTCCATTAACTCTGCTGGACGCAAGAAGAACTGGGCTGGAGGAGAGCGAAGATCCGTTTGATCTGGGTTTCTGCTCCCATCCGATGCCCATGGGAAGCCCACAACCAGAACGAGAGTGTGACAGCCTCCTCTTCCTCACGTCCTCAGCGACAGCCATCCCGAGGCGTACTTCCGAGATGAAATGCGAAGCTATCATGATTAGAAACCATAAACTGAGTACTGGCCAGGTGTGGTGGTGATGGAGGGGTTCTGAAACTTGGGAGTTCTAGATTCAACTCCCAACTCAGCCATAAAGCTCAACAAAGCAGGTGATGGAAGAAAGATGGGATTCTTTTTTAATGAATACATTCTGGGAGAGGAGTCCCACCAGAATTGGGGCCCAACTGAAGGCCACCAGTTCCCCAATATTAATGTCACCTGGGTCATAGAAGCATAGAAGAGTAGAGTTGGAAGGGGCCATGAAGGCCATCAGATCCAATCCCCTGCTGTTGCAGGACACCAAGTTACACCATCCCAATAGAATCATAGAGGTCTTCCACTTTTAAATTTGCCAGTGTTCACAGTTCCACCCTTAGCGAAGTCACAACACAGGTTATACCTTCTCTTTGCACAATCATTTAAAAAGAGGATTGCCAGCAATATTCAGTTTTAGCTTCCTGAAGTTTTTGTGCGGCTGATGGTCTCCTGAGTATTTCCAAGCTTAGATCTTGCCTAAACCTGGCTTGATGTTGCTTAGGCCTTGCGGGTGGCAGTTTCCAAACTTGCTAAAGAAAATTATCTTTCATGCTGCATATCATGTAAAACAATAGCTCTTGGTTTTCACTGCCTGATAATCTCAGGACAGGTGCTCTTGAAGCATGTCAGAATTGCTCCATGCTGTGGCAGAACTGTGTCTGGAACTAGGGGACTTAATTAAATCAATAACATATCCAGTCATATCAGCCTCCTCATTGACAGACTCCACCACCCCATGGACTCAGATATGTTGACATGGACGTCTTCCTTCCAAATCCACTGTTTGACATTTCTTAGCTCCATTTTCATTCTAGGCCTGGTCCGTCCAGGTCCAAAGGAAGACCTGATTACACCCTCAAAGGCCCGCTGTGATGACTTTGCCAGGCATTTCAGGGAGAAAATCGCTCAGATTCGTCACGAGCTGGACACCACTATTGATTCAGAGGTTTCAAAGGAGACACCAACGCTGCCGTCTGGTCCAGATTTATTGGATGAATTTCAGTTACTGCGGCCCGATGATGTGGACAAGGTGCTTGGGCGAGTACGTCCAACCACTTGCCTTTTGGACCCTTGCCCGTCTTGGTTAATAAATGATTCCAAGCACGGGATTGGAACCTGGATCTTGGAAGTGGTTAACGCTTCTCTGAGGGAGGGTCGGGTGCCTGCCCCTTTGAAGGAGGCGGTAGTCCGACCGGTCCTGAAGAAGGCGTCACTGGATCCAGAGATGGCCACTAATTATAGACCAGTGACCAACATCCCATTTCTGGGCAAGGTGTTAGAACGAGTGGTGGCGGGACAACTCCAAGCACTCTTGGATGAAACTGATTATCTGGACCCATTGCAGTCCGGCTTCAGACCCGGGTATGGTACTGAATCTGCCTTGGTCGCCCTGTATGATGACCTGTGCAGGGAGAAGGACAGGGGGAGTGCGTCCCTGTTGGTTCTGCTGGACCTCTCAGCGGCTTTCGATACCATCGACCATGGTATCCTTCTGGATAGGCTTGCGGGATTGGGGGTTGGAGGCACTGCTTTGCAGTGGTTCCGCTCCTATCTCAATGGCCGGTTCCAGAAGGTGGTGCTGGGGGACTATGGCTCTGCGCCATGGCAGCTATGCCATGGAGTACCGCAGGGATCCATTTTGTCCCCTTTGCTGTTCAACATATACATGAAACCGCTGGGAGAGGTCATCAGGAGGTGTGGGCTGCGGAACCATCAGTACGCTGATGATACCCAGCTCTACCTCTCGTTTTCCACCAATCCAGGTGAGGCAGTGGCTGTGCTGAACCGGTGCCTGGCCGAGGTAATGGGCTGGATGAGGGCCAATAAACTGAAGCTCAATCCAGACAAGACGGAGGTCCTGTTGGTTGGTGGATCGGGCTTCAGAGAGGGTGAATTGAACCTTGTCCTGAATGGGGTTGCACTCCCTCTTAGGGACAAGGTCCGCAGTTTGGGAGTGCTCCTCGACCCAGAGCTTTCACTGGAAGCTCAGGTAACAGCAGTGGCGAGGAGCGCTTTCCTCCAGCTTCGGCTAATTCATCAGCTGCGCCCCTATCTGGAGAATGACTGCCTTGCGACAGTGACACATGCGTTGGTGACTTCCCGTCTGGACTTCTGTAACGCGCTCTACGTGGGGCTACCCTTGAAGACGGTCCGGATACTTCAATTGGTCCAAAATAGAGCTGCCAGGCTGCTGACGGGGACTGGACGTTATGTTCACATGACTCCAGTTCTCCGTCAGCTTCACTGGCTTCCCATTGAAGTCTGGGCCCAATTCAAGGTGTTGGTAATGACCTATAAAGCCCTAAACGGCTTGGGTCCTGGTTACCTGAAGGAGCGCTTACATCCTTATATGCCCAACCGCCCCCTGAGATCGGCAGGAGAGGCCCTTCTCCGGGAGCCCTCCATGGAAGAAGTTAGGAGGGTGGTTACTCGGAGGAGGGCTTTCTCAGCGGTGGCGCCTAAGTTATGGAATGCGCTCCCCAGAGAGGTCCGCCTGGCGCCGTCGTTATTTGTTTTTCGGCGCCAGGCGAAGACCTTTTTATTTAAGCAGTATTTTAAATGTTAATATTATTGAATTTTATTTGGCCAGGGCGGCTTGTTTTATAGTGTATGTTTTATATTATATATTTGTATTTTATTGTATATATTTTAAAATGTTATTTTAATCTTTTTGTTGTAAGCCGCCCCGAGGCTTCGGTGAATGGGGCGGCATAAAAATGTTTTAATAAATAAATAAATAAATAAATAAATAAATAAATATTGCATTCAGTGCCGTTTGCTCCTGTCCAGAGCCTGCACCATTCATATCACGGGTGGGGAAACGCAGGCGCAGGTACCAAACCTGGCCCTCCTGGTAGGGCCGCACCCCCTTCCCTTGAGCTTTTGGGCTACTCCAGGGCAGCTGAGGGCCACGGGGTACATTCCCTTGTTCCAACCATAGGGAACAAGCCTTGCTCCGCCAAAAGCAGGTATTTTATAAGCGTTCTGCTAAGGCTGCTAGGTCTGCTGTGCTGCACTCCCCAAATCCCTCATTAATCCCTAATATTAAGCAGGGGATGGAGGGGCTGCCCTTAAAGTCAACAGTGGCTTTTACAGGCAGCAATAAGAGACTTGTGTGTGATCTGCTAAAGCAGGGGAGGCAATCCAGTGCCTGCCAAATGTTTGGAACTACAACTCCTATAAGCCTCAGGCAACACAGTCAATGATTGGGGATTATGGCTGCTGTAGTTCAGAACAGTGAGCGTACTGGGTTGGCAGGTTTAATGCACAAAATACAAGTTACTAATTTTAGTATGCAATGGAGGAGCCATAGTTTCCCTTAAGTTGTAGGAAAGACTGGGGGGGGGGTCATTCATGGAGCGTATTAAACCGCCACCAGCATCTGTCAACAGCATTTGGTCCGTATTTGAGGCCTGCTTCTTGTTTGTTACGGGCCCCGATCACAGTACTTTGGGCAAGAAGACATCACGGTCTGCAGGAGAGAATCTCAGGGCTGTACGTCCCTTGATCAGCCTTATCTGCAGAGAAAAAGGACCCTGGCGGAGTTTTGCGCTTCCCCCATCGAAAACACGAGCTGCGAATGGCTGAATTATATTGTTATGTTGCCATTCTAAACATGTTGGGTTTGAATTTGCAGTAGTTGCACTGAGTTGACATTGCGCTGTCAGCGTGCTATTCCCCACTCCCTCCCTCTCCCCCTCCCTCCCTCGGTCCCTATCTCACTCACACACACACACACACACAAACACTTCTTTGAGTTGATAGAAATGTGACACTGAGCCTTGGCTTCTTTGGGCAGGAGAGAAGCAAAGGTGGGAGCGAAAGTTGCGGGTGGGGAAGGGAAGAATGGGAGAAGCGGGTCTCACGGGCAAGGGAAGGCCGATGCCTCTGGGCGGGGAGCGGCCCCCAGGCCCTCCGAGAGAAGCAGCCGAGCGCCCCCGCCTGACCCGCTTCGCCTCCCCGTCGGCCTCGATGGGAGCCCCCGCCGAGACCGAGCCAGCCCCAGCGCCCGCGCTCTGCGGCCTGACGGGGAGCTGGCGCTACCAGTTCCGGATCCTGCTGATGGGGGACTCCACGGTGGGCAAGACGTCGCTGCTGAGCCGCTACGCGGAGGGCCGCTTCTGCCCCGGCCAGGCCCCCACGGCCGGCGTGGAGTTCTACTGCAAGGTGGTGCGGCTGCCGCGGGGCGCCAGGGTGAAGCTGCAGCTCTGGGACACCGCCGGCCAGGAGCGGTTCAGGTGAGCAGGGCCCTCCGCTCCGCTCCGCCTCGCCGCGCTCCTCGGGGCCAGGCCCCGGCCGGCTTCCCGCGTGGCCCCAGGCCGCGCCGCCGGCTCCCGGCCCTGCGGGCAGGCCGCTGGTCCGGGCTGCGCTTGCACCTGGGCAGGTGGAGAGAGCCTGGAGGGGTCGCTTCCCTCGGGGGCTCCTGCTGGGGCAGAGGGGGCTTCCGACTGAGGAGCAGGGGTCATGGCGGCGGATTTCAGCATCCAGCCCTGTTTGCTGTCCGAGGTGAGAAGTCAGAGTTCCTAAAAGGGACTTTCGACCCCTGGGGCATGTGCCCCGCTGAGCCCCGGCTCTGCCAGCCTCCCACCCAGGCAAGCACCGCATTGGCGGCAGCCGCCACAAAGCTGGTGCCTTGCAGATGTGCTGGACTACAGCTCCCACTGGCCTGCTGGCTGGGGATGGTGGGAGTTGCCATCCAACACCCATCGCGAAAGTGCTAGGGTACTTAAACTTCTCTGATCAAAAGGACAAGTAATTCTAACAATGTGATGACTGATGATTTCAGTGGAACTTACAACGCATTGTAGTCATTTGGGGCTCTTATATACAATAAAGTGCTATTTTTCATGGCAAAGCCCTCCCTCCCTTGCAAAAATAATTAAAACAGCACAATAGATTGGTATTTGGAAACATGGCATATTGCTTTTATGACCAAAAGGTTTTGTTTTTTTGAAAGGAAGCAAAGGGAAAAAGCAAAAGTTTCTGCAGATTCCCATTTCTACTTTGCAGCCCTCACTATGTGAAATATGGAAGGTTGTATTCTGTTTAATTTTTGTATAACTTTTGTATGAATACATATTTTGCACATTTGCTAAATTTATAATAAAAAGGATAAGTTATGCAGGTACAGGAGATAGACTGGCTAATAGCTGATATGATAAATAGAACCAATGGAAAAGAAAGAGGAAAACTGTCAAAAAATACACCGAATCTCATTCAATACTTATAAAAAATCATCAGCAGACTTAAATTCCAGCTCATAAAGCTTTTAAGAAAAGTTCAGTTGCAACAAACTTTTAAAAAAAATGCATTTCTACCTGCTTTTCAGCCAGCAAAGAGATCCAGAATAACTTAACTAGCAGCAGTATTCATTCACTGAAAAAGCAATAATAGCAAATCAATTAGCAAAAGGACCGTCCAGTCCGCTCTTCAGGCGGCCTGCTATGAAAGGGGGGAGCCCACTCACCAAAGTGGGGGTACTGGCTCTTTCTGCTCTGGATGCGCATGCAATGATAGAAATAATTCTAGATTCTGAAGTGGATGGACTTATGGGAAGCCCCTCTTTATACTGTAATGGTCATTACTTCGCTTCCCTCAAGCCCCCGTCTGCCTGCAGCTGTTTGCATAGCTGCACTTGAGAGTCCTTAGGCTTGAATAATTATTTTATCCCTTCCATTCATGCAATTCCACATCCATCTGCTGGCTTCCTTCCAAGGGGCTCAAGGCATGGTTCCTCTTGGCTGCTCGGTGGAGAGAGACTTGTGTTCATAAGCAGAGCCATGCAAAGAGCTAAGGAGGGGTGGCGGAAAGCCCCGGGGTGGGGTCGTGATGGGGGGGGGCTGCTCTTATTTGCTTTTGCTGGGTTGAGAAACAGATTCTACGGGGGGGGGGACCTGAAGGTGGTCCCCCCCAGCATGGACCAGCACGGCTTGACCTCACTGGACGAATTATTCATCCCAGGGGCTTGCTTTATGCAAACAATGCACCCTGATCACCTCAGCAGGACTGAGATAAGTTGGTCTGATGACTCCTTCCCTATTCATGTCACTGGTAAAGGCATAGGGGCCCTGCTGGGGGGAAAAAGGCCACAAAAGGATGGGAGAAAAATGCAGTAATTGCAAATTCTGTATTTAACCCACTTTCACCTCCCTTCCCCTCCTCTGTGGTTTCCCCAGGGTCTTTTTTTTTTTGGATTGGGAGCCGCCTGACCTCACTCTTCGTAAAGTGCCATTGCATAGAGGGCGTTCTTGAGCTTGGTGCCTCCAGAAGTTCAGGACTACAGCTTCTACATTGCTGCTGTTGCTATTTTTGCAGTCCAAAAATATTCGAAGAGGATCAGGTAGAGGAAACTCCGCCAGGCAGAGCAGCGTTAGACAAGGTGTGGCCCAGTTACAAGGAAAGAGGCCTTAACTGAAGGATAAGGGCGGATGCAGCTAGGGAAGGAGGACACCCAGAATGAAATGCCGACCGCAGCGCAGCCTCCAAAGGGCACCTTCTTAAGGGACGCCCAGCCCAGCCCGGCTCCAAAGAAAGGGCTTTCGAGTGCAGGCAGGGAGAGTCGCACTGGGGGCAAGCCAAGGATTGGAAGCAAGACTCTGACCATTCAATTTGCTGGCCAGGAATCCAGCTGGTACACCAGCCCCTTTCACTCCCCCGTGGAAAAAGCACTGCAAATGCACAAAGGGCGGAAGTGGGTGCATACCTGCTTTTAGTGAATTGTGTGTGGTGGAGGAAAGAATGCTGTGTTTTGTGTCTTGTCCTTGCAGGAAGGACTTTAGTTACTCACTAAATAGATAGAAATGTTTTTCCTGCCTTCGTGGCGTGATTAGGATGGCCACGTGTCCTATATGACAGGGATCAGTCCTCTACCTTCAGGCATCCTCTGTTTCAGGGATGGGAAACATATGGTCCTCCAGGGATTGTTGGACTTCATCTCCCATCTGCATAGCCAATAGTGAGAGGTTATGGGATGTGTAGTCCATCCACATCTGGAAGATCACACAGTTCCCATCCCTGCTTTATTTGACAGGGCTGCCCAGTCCAAGTGCACCTTAAAACTAAAGGCGGGTAAGAAAGGTGAGCTGCAGAGCCTTGGTTGCCCATCCGCATTAAGCACCTGGACAACAGACACAGGTGAGCTGAGCATGGCCATCCCCACTTTGGTGAGATGCATCACATTTCTCCATAACTCACAGTACTTTTTGCTAAATCTTCATCTGTCTATCTATCTAGCTATCTATTAGCACATGTACTTTTTCAACAGACATGCTTTGCCTGACTCTAAGCTTTTTGTCAGCTTTTTTGATAGAGCATTTCATCATTTCTTGCAACATACAAAGGGCCACACAAGATATTATTAATCCTGATGTTAATTTAATATCTTAAATGGAGATTTAAGATTTAAATCTTAAATTTAATGTCTTAATGGAAAGTGCCTGAAGAAGTGTCCAAGAACTGAATAGCCCAAAAGACTTCTGAAGACAGTGGAAATATACTTCACTCTCCTGAGGACAAATGTATAATCATGTAGTAGTGAGTGAATTGAATTAGAGAGCTATGCTGACAATTCCAGAGTAAGATATTTTGCAACACATTGTTCCAGAACAATGCACTGGGTATGGGACCGTGTGCTGCCAATGGAGTTCCAAGAAAGTGTTTTAAACCTTTAAAGTCTTCCTAGAAACCTGGCACATGGTTTGGTTAATCACTGTGGCTCTTCTCGTTTTAGGTGCATCACCAGATCTTTCTACCGGAATGCAGTCGGGGTGCTCTTGGTCTTTGATATGGCCAACCGGCGATCATTCGAGAGCATCTTCCAGTGGCACAACGAAGTGACCAATGTTATGGAAAAAGTAGTCTTCCTCCTAGTTGGTCACAAATGTGACCTTCAGTCAATAAACAGGGTCACTCTTGAGGAAGCAGAGGGACTGGCGACCTCCCTGGGCACACGCTTCATTGAGACATCTGCGAAGGACAATATCAATGTGGATTTGGCCTTTGAGACCATAGCCAGTGATATTTATGAGGCTCTGAAAAATAAGGAGATTGAGCTGCAGGAAGGATGGGACGGGGTGAAAGTCATTCATAGGGAGAGGAGAAGCAGTCTTCAGAGGAAGAAGCTGCCACCAGAAGAAACGCCATGCTTGTGTTGACCACATCAAGGAGTGGGACACTGTGAGAAGATGCTATTGAGTGGATTCTTCCAAGGAGGAACAAAAAGGTTTCCTCCATAGTCCTAAGTGTGCTACTAGGGACCCGATGGATTGCTTGACCCCTCATCGCCAGCTTACCCAGTTGGCCTCTAGAGCGATAAGCTCCTGCAAATGTCTCAGAAATAGGCTGACACGCAGACAGGCAGACATGGGGCACGAATGGTGCAGAGAAGAGAGAGAGAGAGAGAGAGCGAGCACCTGATGAAGGGTTGGTTGCAACCGAAAAGACTTGCTGCCACATTCTGTCAACAATAAAGGTGAAGGTTTCCCCTTGACGTTACGTCCAGCCATGCCTGACTCTCGGGGGCGGTGCTCATCTCCATTTCCTGGCCGAGGGAGCCAGCGTTTGTCCCAGACAGTCTCCGTGGTCGTGTGGCCGGCTTGACTAAACACCAAAGTGCATGGAACGCTGTTACCTGCCCACCGAAGTGGTACCTTTTCATCTACTTGGATTTGCATGCTTTCGAACTGCAAGGTTGGCAGGAGCTGGGACGGAGCAATGGGAACTCACCCCGTTGTGCAGATTCGAACCGGCGACCTTTCGATCACCCAGCCCAGCAGCGCGGCAGTTTAAACCACTGCGCCACCTGCAGTCCCCTTCTGTCAACAATAGCCATTCATAAAATCGATCTGAACTATTCTGGATCTTACAGGTTAAAAGAGGGCATGTTTCACTTGTTTAACTAGGAGTAAATTTGTTGTGTAAAGAGCTAGGGAAGGGAAATACTGGTGCAGTGGTGAGGACTGAATAAAGGGTGCACCAGTGTTCAGTGTTCAGGTATTTAGGGTACAATCCTAATGTGAAACAAAACTGATGCTTTTAAAAAACAAAATCATGTGCAATCATATCTATGGCTTTTGTTTAGGTAGTTCTTTTAATTTGCTGCTTTGCTGTCGTGGATCATGAATTGGTTCTCCCCCAGTTCACAAAAGCTGCGCCGGATAATTTAACCAATCGGCTGTCAGGCAAATGAACCGCAAGAGCAGGGCTAGTGAGAAAATGTAAATGTAACTCCAACTTCTACCCACTTTCCATGGGCTGCCAGACTGAGATGCAAAGTGTCCTCCGTGCAATCCAGCAAGGAGCTCAGTTCTGATGAGATATTTTTTCTGAAAGGTAGTACAGAGAAAGTAGAAATCGTTCAGGCTAAAGGCTGATTTCCACTCAAAAGCTTTGCATATTTCCACATAGCATTGTGCAAGAGCTCTGAGACTGCATTAAAGAAAGCCCGGAAAGCATCGTACCTGATGCGGTGTCTCCCTGCCTGCCACCACAAAATCCAACTGCACTTCTTGCTGGTGTGTGTCATGCATATCAGTGTCTTCCCATTTAAGGACGTTCCCCATCTTTGGGAGCCCAGCTGCCCCGCAGAGCGAGTGGGGAAACGGTCGTTTCACCCTCAGAAAAGCCATCCAGGAAAGTTTGGGCGCTCTCCCATTTAAGGGGCTCTTTGGGCACAGATCCGGAGGCTTGAAGCAGTCTTTGGCTCATGCCCTGAATACCAAGAGGGGGTGAAAGAGATGCCATGGTGGACTTTGATCAGAGTTTGTGGTTGGGGCTGCTCCTGCTTTTAGGGTGCTTCCAAACAGCTCGCTCTGGAATTTATGGCAATACCTTTCTTAGGCACAGCCATGAGAAAAATGAGCTGCTGCACCCCATGAGATTATCAAAATAAAGAGTCATCAGCTTGTTACATTCTGCGCGTATATTGGTCTGTATGCCAAAGACCAGAATGGCAGACAATCACGCCAGGCTGCCCCTCTGAAGGGTTTTTATTTATCGGGAAGGTTTAATTGTACGGGAGGAAGCATGCTATCGGCTTTTCATTGGCAATTGCACATTCCGTTGTTGGCGAACGCCAAGCACAGGAGAAGGGAACGGAAGGGAGGAGGAGGGCCTGAGGACGTCAGCATTTCTGACAGTCTTACTTGGGATGCACATGGACCACACGGCTTCCCAATAGCCCAGCAGAAATGGTCTCCTGGAGTTGGCTCTGCTCAGCTTCCTCACCTCCTTTACTGTGCTCAGTTTCATGCTGACTCGGATCTTTCAGTTCCCGGGAGGAAAGGCTGATGCAGGCTGTCCTGACCTGACACCACACAGCTTTGCTGGGTAAGCACTCCAATCATCCACGCCCAGCGTGGCTACGGCAAGCCTTTCTCTAGCTGGGCTGAGGGGAAGACTGGCATGACAGTTTCCAGAAGAGGGCCCAACAGAAGCTTGCTGTGGAAAACATCCAAGGAAAAACAATGCTCTCGTAATATATGGTGACGTGGTCGACTAACAAGAATGAATTAAGTCCTGGCAGGAACTAAAAGATGAAGAGGAAATACAGAATGGTTCCTCTATCACCAATTGGCCTCAAAATTAAAAAAGGAAACTCAAACAGGAAAAAGCATAATAAAGTTTCCAGCAGAGGGTGCTCCAAGGCCCCTGGAGAAAGAGGGGCCAGCACTGCCCAGTGGCACCTTGCTTTCGAGACCCATTTTTCTCTGGGTGCTTAGGAGCTCCATTCCCACATCAGTCTTCTGCTTAGCTGCTTGGGTAACTTTTGTTTTAGCATCACCAGGCTGCCTTCTCGAAAAGGGCAGTTTTGAGCCTGGCTCTGACCAAGTGGCTGCCTGTTCATAAATGGGCATGAGCCCTTCCCCCACGGTGGCCATTTTGTGCAGGCACTCAAGACGTTCTCCCAGCGTTCCAGAAGTGTCCACCAGCCACAAACCTCTGATCTAAGGAAAGGTGGATCGTATCCCCCATGGCTGACATGCAAGTGCACACACAGCCCATGAGGCTGGTATAAGTAGAAGCCAACGCTTTTTAATATGTCCCTCTCCCTCCGAAGGTTTGGTGATGTTCATAAACACAGCCTCCAGGAGCTCCATTTTCCCAGGTGTCAAGAGCAAGGCACCTTCTGTTTTCCCCTCTCTGAATCCAACTCAGAAAGAAACCTCACAAAGTGGTTCTTTTACAGACCAGTTTGAACTTTAAATAGCCTTCGACTAGAGAGGCAGGGGAAGCATCTGCCCATGTGAACAGCTGAATCCAAACTGAAAACTTCTCCACAGTCCACCCTTCAAGTGAAGCTTCTGGCTCCAACCTCAAGGTGGCCATCACTGCTTGAGGGCTACGGGGTGGCGATGCCTGAGGGTTCCCAGGTGGCCTCCCACCCTGAAAGCCCTCTTCCCCTTCTAGCACAGGCCTGAGAAGCTTCGCTCGGTGACCATGCGAGGGTCAACTCTTCCACCCCCTCTTGCTCCTCTGCCTCAGAATCAGACTAATCTATCTGAGCAGACTGTAACACACAAGAGAGGGCCCCTCTCTACACCGGACAAAACACAGGATTCAGCAGAGCCCGGCACACTTCGCATTGCTGCCCAAAAGCTACCAGGGTTCTCCTTTATAGGAAGTGAGGCCTCCTTTACCAGGTCTCTTGGGTGCAGCAGCTGTTCTTTCATCACAGTCTCCGACCTGCCAGTTGGTAGACGTTCCCACAGATCGCCTATTGGTGTGTGAAGATCCCAGTGCTGGAAAAACAGAGGGAGAGAATTAAGCTGCCTTAGATCAGACCAGTGGCGAATCCTATACAGGACTTACCAAACTTTTCAATAGTATCATAAATTATGTGTGTGTGCAGGGGAGCAGTGTTCTTCCCTTCCCAGCAGAATGCGCTTTTTTAACTTTTTGGTAAGGGAGATCATATGCCTATAGAGCCTCTTGACTTTGGCCAGCCCCATGGACACCTGAACTCCCCAAAGAACCCTTATGTTTTGCTGCAAAGGCAGTAAGAGTGGAAGGGCATATTCATCTCTTTTGCAGTAGGATCCCAGGTTATTTGGGGGGGGGGGGTCATGTATCCCAAGTGCTCCCCCAGTTTTGCAAATGTCCCTGGGATGCTAGCATCTTGGAAACAGGCAAAAAGTAGCCACAATTCCCATATGCAGGATAACAGCTCTTTCCTAGCTCAGTTCAGTCCAGCTGTCAAGCAGCAAACCCTCTTTTTTTAAGGGGGGATTCCTAAAGAGTGAAAGAGCATTGGCAGCAAACTTTACAACTAGAGAGAAACTCTCAAGAGGAGGCCAGCCCGTGCTTTCGAAACTACAGCAAAGCCTTTGAGTATTCGGATCACAAGAAGCTGCGGATGCTCCTGAAAGAAATGGGGGTGATCTGGACACAATTGCATCGATGCACAACCTGCATCACAGACAAGAAGCTACTGAGGACAGAACGGCTTCTCACACAGGTGTATTTTATCCCCCTAACCATTCAGTCTGAAGGCACCATGAGGAAAACTGGATTAGGATCAGAGAAGGGTGTGAAAATTCACAGAAGACATACCAGTCGTTCAAGCTATGCAGATGCTACCCAGGATCTGGCAGAAAGCAGCGGAGGCCAGAAATGGCTCCCAGTGGAAGAGAAAGAAGCAAGTACCAGAGCAGGACTTTAGCTAAACGTGTGTGAGAGCGAGCGAGCGCACAGCAGGATTACACAGGTCAGCAAAGTGCAATTGTGAAGGACTTCACACAGCCTCAATTCAAAGGGAGAGCGCAGCCAAGGAATCAGAACAGGACTCGCCTTGGAAGGACAACAAAGAAGCAACTAGAAAGGATTGTCAGACCGAAGCTCGTTTTACTGAAGACCAAAGCCAAGGCCACCACACTATTGCATCCTCGCAAGAGAAGTCACAACCTTATGCTTACAAGAGCTGGGTGGGGCTGTCCAAAAGCATTTTGAGGACCTTCTTTCATGGGGTCCCTGTAAGACAGAGACGACTGGATGGCATGTGACAAGAACGTGCACCTCAGACGCTGCAGCCAAAACATAATTCTTAATCCTAAAAAAGGCATTTTCAAAATGGAGCCTTGCTGTTTGACTGCTGAACAACCTGCAAGTCAGGGAGGGCTACAGAACTCAGGGAACCTAGTGTTTGTCCGGCTTTGTATTCGCACACTTGCAGAGGGAGAATGATGGTGTGTGTGAGAGAGCGAAACAAAAAATGGAACAAGCCTCACACCCAAGGAAGAGACACCAGATCTGGGAAACAACTGCAAGTTTTGCAGAAGTACCCACACCCAGGCAGGAAAAAACCTTTAGCGGAAGAAATTCTTCAGTGGAGGAGGAACAGACCAATGATTACGGGAGATGCTCAGTGGACAGAGAGGGAGAAACAGATAGAAAGCCGCTGTGTGTAGAATACAGCGTCTCAGAAAAGCGCTACCCGGCTGGCTGAAGGGCTTGTCACTGACATTCTGGTGGAGCTTCTAAGAGGGATAAAGGATGCCAGGCCAGGAAGGTTTGGGGGAACAAGAGGACCCA